TGAGGCTGATAAATAGCAACGGCAGAGTGCGCGGCTGCATTCTTTAATAAATAAATGAAGTAAATACCACCGCCGCAATAAAGAAGAGAACCCATCTTTTCTTCATCATCTTCTTTTATTCTAGCACTTAACAGGCATATTCAAACTAGCTTTCAAGAAATGGCCGTCATTGTGAGGAATAAGTTCAATAATTGTTGTTGATTTAGGTTTGTACATTTGATTAATTTCTCAGTTTAATTCCTATTTGGTTGGTTGTTAACTTGTGTTGGGATCCCTACTTAATTGGAGAGGTTCTAGAAAATTCTAGAGCTTTCTAGAGAAGTATAGAATTTTCTAGAACGTTGCGGAGAATCCTAAAGAAGTCTAGAACTTTCTAGAAGCTTGCGGAATAATGTGGAATCCTCTGGAATATTCTAGAGATGTGTGGAACCTTCCGGAAGCTTATGGAAGAGTATGGAAGCATATGGAAGAGAATGGAGATGTGTAGAGATTCCTTGGAATTCTCTAGAATAGGTAGTCATGTAGATCATTCTAGAGAAATATTCTCCACCACTCATTATGGAGGTGGAGTAGTAAAAATAGGAGTAGGAGCCTCCATTCCTATCTATCTCAATCCTAATCCTAGCAATCCTAGCAAGAGAGAATTCACTTCCTAGAGTGAGAAAGCTAGAAAGTTAGAGAGCCTCTTTGAGAGAGAAGAGAGTTAACTTGGGAATGTCATATCCTCAAGCTTGAGTGAGCCACCATTGAGTGAGACAATTTTGTAACATTCTTGTAAATCCTACTATTCTTTTGTATAGTGGAAGAATCTCCATATTGGAGAATTTAAATCGTGTGCTCCCATTACTACCTTAATTCCTAAGTGCCTATCTTAACTTCACGAAGCAGGAAATTCCGAAGTTTTTTCCCAACAGTGGTATCAGAGCCAGGTTCATTTGAGGTTGTCATCAGCTCGTGTAGTTCAATATGGAGGATAGCGTCGCCCATGATGGAGACATGTTCAAGCTAACTGCCAACAACTACTCATATTGGAAGCCAACGATGGAAGACCATTTATACTGCAAGGATTTGCATGAGCCCATCATCTACAAAGAGAAGGTGGAAGGCAAGAGTGACGCTCAATGGGAGCTACTGAATCGGAAAGCCGTTGCTATGATCCGTAAGTGCATCGACAAATCCCTCTTCGAGCATGTGTCCACTTACACGGATGCTTATGAATTATGGACAAAACTTGAGTCCATGATTCAAAAGAAGACACCTCGTAATAAAGCCAATTTAGTTCGACGGTTGGTGAAATTGGAGTATAAGGATGGTCAAAGTATGATTGAACACTTGAATAACTTCAAGGGGCTCGTAAATCAACTAACAAAAATCGAGATGAAGATTGATGACGAGTTGCAAGCCCTTCTACTCCTTAGTTCCTTGCCAGAAAGTTGGGACACACTCGTGGTTACACTTAGTAACTCAGCTCCGGAAGGAAAGCTAACCATGGACACCGTCAGTGATAGTCTTCTTGGCGAAGAATCAAGGAGAATGGAACGAGGTGAGTCTATGCATCCTGAGGCTAATGTTATCGAGAACCGGGGTAGGAATGAGACTCGTGGACGCAGTAAAAGCCGAGATCCGCAACAATCTCGAGGTAGGTCCAAGTCACGCTCGAAGATCACATGCTACTACTGTGGAAGAATGGGCCACAGGAAAATGGAGCGTCGATCCTTCAAGAGAGACCAGAAGGCCGGTAACTTCAAACCAGACCAAGTCACCCCAACGAAGAAGCAAGAAGAGAAGAGTACCACTGCCGTAGTCGCAAAAGAAGATCTGCTATATCTCATTGGAGAAGGTAATATCCTAAACATTGCTTGTGATGATAGTTCCTGGATTATCGATTCTGGTGCTTCGTTCCATGTCACTCCCCATGGAAGTTTCTTCTCATCCTACCAAAGTGGTGACTTCGATACGGTTCAAATGGGAAACCAAGATAGGAGCAAGATCGTTGGGATAGGAGACATCGTCCTGACAACTAGCACCAGATGCAAGCTTGTTCTGATGATGCTGGTCTGATGAATTACTTTGGTGAAGGAAAATGGAAGCTCACCAAAGGAAGTCTAGTCATGGCTAGAGGAAAGAAGGAAGGATCGTTGTATGTGATGCAAGCTAAGCTCTGCAAAGGAGAGGTAAATATAACCACTGATGACATGGAAGTATGGCATAAACGACTTGGTCACATCAGTGAGAAGGGCCTTCACATACTTGCTCGGAAACAACTCCTCCCGGACGTGAAAGGTAAGTCACTTGATCCTTGTGCACACTGTTTAGCTGGAAAACAACAAAGGGTTGCTTTCCAAAGATCTTCTCTACCCACAAGGAGAAAGAACATCCTCGACCTTGTACACACCGATGTGTGCTCAATGTCCGAGAGATCTATTGGTGGTGCGTTGTACTTTGTGACCTTCATTGATGATCATTCAAGGAAGGTATGGTTGCACCTGTTAAAATCAAAGGATCAAGTACTTGACGCTTTCAAGGAATTCCACGCTCTTGTAGAACGTGAGATAGGAAGGAAGATCAAGTGTGTACGATCTGACAATGGAGGTGAGTATAGAGGTCCCTTTGAAGCCTATTGCAAGAAATATGGCATTAGGCTAGAGAAGACTCCACCCAAGACACCACAATTGAATGGGCTAGCTGAGAGAATGAATAGAACTATTGAAGAAAGAGTCTGTTGTGTGCTCTCTCAGGCTAAGTTACCCAAGGATGAATTTGGCTATTGGCTATGGGATCCAATCAACAAGAAGGTTGTTCGTAGCAGAGATGTGGTGTTCTTCGAAGACCAAACAATTGAAGACATTAAAAACTCGGAGAAGCCAAGATTGAGAAGCAGCAGGAGCACCGGACCTACGCAAGTTCGATGTGAGGATACTGATCCACATCAAGACAATAATGTTGAAGACCATGAGCCTGTGTTAGAGCAAAGAAACCAAGAGACTCATGATGAACCAACTCAGGAAGATCCTCAATCTAGTTCTCTGCCAGCACCAGAGCCGAGGCGATCCTCAAGGGAGAGAAGACCATCCACTCGGTACAACACCGAGGAGTACGTGATGCTCACGGATGAGGGGGAGCCACAAAGCTATAAAGAAGCAATCTGTGATGTTCATAAGGAAGAGTGGAGAAGAGCCATGCAAGAAGAGATGCAATCCTTGCATGAGAATCACACTTATGAACTTGTGGAGCTGCCAAAAGGGAGAAGAGCCTTGAAGAATAAATGGGTGTATCGAATCAAGACCGAAGACAATAGCTCAAAGTCTCGTTACAAAGCTCGATTGGTTGTCAAAGGATTCGGTCAAGAAAAAGGCATCGACTTTGAGGAAATATTCTCTCCTGTGGTAAAGATGTCATCCATCCGAGTTGTTCTTGGCCTAGCAGCGACGCAAGATTTGGAGATTGAACAACTCGATGTCAAGACAGCGTTCCTTCACGGCGACCTAGAGGAAGAGATCTACATGGAGCAGCCCGAAGGGTTCAAAGTTCCGAGCAAGGAAAACCTAGTATGTCGCCTCATGAAGAGTCTATATGGCCTCAAACAAGCACCGAGACAGTGGTACAAGAAGTTTGAGTCCTTCATGGCAGAGCATGATTTTACAAAGACAAAGAGCGATCATTGTGTCTTCATAAAGAGGTATGCAAGTGGCGACTTTCTCATACTTCTACTCTATGTTGATGATATGTTGATTGTTGGACAAGATCGCGTAAAAATAGATGCTTTGAAGAAAGGTCTAAGCAAGAGCTTCGCCATGAAATATTTGGGACCGGCTAAACAAATCCTTGGGATGAGAATAACTCGTGATAGATCGAAGAGACTGTTGTGGCTATCCCAAGAGAGGTACATTGAGAAAGTGTTGGAACGGTTCAACATGAACAAATCAAAGCCGGTAAACACACCACTTGCTGGACACTTCAGGTTGAGTTCGAAGAAAAGTCCCACAAGTGAGAAAGAAAGGGAGGAAATGAAGAAGATTCCATACTCATCTGTGGTAGGCAGTCTCATGTATGCAATGATATGCACAAGACCAGATATCGCCTATGCAGTTGGAGTCGTTAGTCGTTTCTTGGCCAACCCTGGGAGTGAACATTGGGTAACGGTCAAATGGATCCTCCGGTATTTATGTGGAACTTCCAAAAGATGTTTATGCTTTGGAAAAGGAAAACCTGTGTTAGAAGGATACACAGATGCAGACTTGGCCGGTGATATTGATTTAAGGAAATCAACATCGGGATACCTAACTACTTTTGCAGGGGGAGCTGTTTCCTGGCAATCAAAGCTGCAAAAGTGTGTTGCATTATCCACCACAGAGGCAGAGTACATCGCAGCTACTGAAGCTTGCAAGGAGATGTTGTGGATGAAGAATGTGTTGCTCGAGCTGGGAATAGATCAAGAAAGGTACGTGTGACACCCTAAAAAAAAATTAAATGCAAATAAAATAATATAAAATTATTATTATTAATAATAAATGAAAATTTATTTTACGGATCAGAGTACATTGACGCACACTTTTATTGCAATCTTCCTTGAAAAAGTTTACTGCTTCGAGGACAAAACATCTTTTAAGGGGAGTAGAATGTGATATCTCAATATATATATATATATATATATATATATATATATATATATATATATATATATATATATATATATATAAAGTGGATAATTTTTAATCATATAAAATTTTGACTTAAATAATGAAACTAAAGTGAGGAGTATTTTTTTATGAACATGAAATTTGAACGATTGCGATTCCAAAAAGGGCTATATTACAGTATTAGTTAGCTGTTATGTACGTACGGGTGAAGTCTATAAATTGAAGTTTTTATTGGAAGATTTTAATGGGCTGAGCAAATATTATTACAATTATATTACAATTATAATAGGTAGTACGAAACCCTAGACTAGAAGCTTCCAATAAGGCATATATATACCTGCGCTATGATAAGCTTTGCGCACTAAAACCTGCTTAAGAAATAAACCTGCGCTACTATGCTATATATGGAGCACATCGCCGGACTCCGTCGCTAGGAGGACATAGAGATCGTTCTCGCCGGAGGAGAAGTCCGGCCGCTGCACCGAAGAGCTAGTGTAACGTTGAGTTGGAAGGCTTCAGTTCGGTCACTACTATCGAAAGAGAAGATCACGGAGGGAGCAACGCCGGAAAGTGCCGAACGAGGATGTACCGTGTGGTATGGCTACTAGCCCTGGTCTCTTTTATTCGCCGACTTCAGTCGTTCAATGAATAGTACGTATGTTTCTCTTCGCTTCGCCTGCTACGTTCCTTCTTATTAATGTTGGACTGAAAAGGCTGATCTGATAGACTATAATAATAATAATAAAATCATGGGCTGAGTGATTTTTATAGTGTTTGGGCAGTATGTATTACTTAGTAATAATATACACTGCTACACCACTTGTTTTCTCCCATCTTTGGACCGGCCAGAGCAATAAAAATAGAGATTATACGAATAGTGTTAACTCTAGCAAAAAAAATGATTATACTGAAATGAATGATTTAAATAATGGATTATTATAGTGATAATTAATGTTGAAACAATAAAATCATAAGAATGGGAATTCATGAAGGGTAGATAAATTAAACTATAAATTTGGATAGATATTGACATATAAAATTTTAATAGAAGGTGATTGAGTGAGATGCAAAGTAGAATAATTGCCTAGATTATTTGGAGAAGATCGAGATAGAAGCTTCGGTTATGAATTATCGTGATTTGAGGTAAGTTTCACGTCAACCAACATTATACTTTTCCTTGTAAATCATTTTTGAAATTATTTGAGCACTTTATGAGATTTCTAGTATTTACATTTGAGTATTTGGAATTTCTTATGGATTATTATTGAGAATTATATTTGAGATTTGAGTATTGGATATTGGATGATATTTTTGAGTATTTGAGATATCTTATGAATTGTTATTGAGATTATATTTATGAAGTATTTGGCTCTTTTGTGAAATTTTATTGTATGGTGAATTCGAGTGTAGTTTGTTGGAGTTAATGTTTTATATTGTGGGTGATTTTGTGGAGTTTGGATTTCATATCCGTTTTGATTGAGATTGAATTATGATTTTGTGAGCACCCAGAGAAATCCGTGGTGTCGGTTTGCCACATCCGGATAAATGTGGAATATTTGGTGAGGGGTAATGGCTATAAGTCTAAATCCACCAAGGGTACTTCCCAAAAGCGGAGTATCCCAGCTTAATTGTAGTGTAATTGGTAGAAAAATCCCGACTACTCGGGCTTCTTACTACCCGGAGGGCTTGGAATCCCTTTTAGGGGGTGTGCACATTTAAGGTAGGAGTTCGGCTTCCACTGGACTTTGATGAGATTGGTTTTGAGGCTTTGAGGTGATTGAGATTATTTGATTGGCTTGATTTGGACTTGAGGTGAATATTATTTGATTGGATTTATCGTGGAATTGAGTTATTGAGTTAGATTGGAATTGTTGGATTATTGGATTGGATTATATTTGGATTGAATTTGAGTTGGATTGAGTTATTAAATTATTTGTGAGTTTTTAGAGTATAAATACTTCTGGATTTGATTTGGTTTAATTATGTTGAATATTGTTTATAATTATTTATATGTATTTTGAGATGAATATTTGATGTTTGATTTACGTTTTGGAAAGTTTGTGATGATTTTGGTGATTTTATGTATATTGATATTTTGGTATTATTATGGTTTGAAATATGTACTTATATTTGAAATATTGATATTTTGCATATTATTTGTGTTATAAGAATATTTTATAAATGTTGTTTTACTTATGATTTATAAATTATTTTGAAAATATATTTTACAAAATGTTTTACAAATATACATATATTATTTAGTTATTTGTTTGGGGTTATGTGGAACTTACTTAGCATTGTTGCTAATTTTTGTTTCTTTTATTTTTTTTCTCGTACTTTATTTGTACAGGTGATGATTTGATGAAGGTGTTGATTCTGAGAGAGCTTCCGCTAGAAAAAATGTAATAAATAGATAACATTGTAGTTTAATTTAGTTTTCAAGACAATTATTGAGTTTAATTGTTTTTAAGGGATTAGCATGTGCACTTGGTTAGGTTAGAGCCGAGTGTGGCGGTAACGCCCCTATTTCCCTTTTGATTTTCCGCTGCACAATTCTGATGTTTTCAAATAAAGTTAATAAATAATGTTTTATTTAAAGGTATTTTTGGGTGGGAAATTTGGGGGTGTTACAGTACGTGTTGAAGTGCGACAATCAAAGTGTAATTTACTTGGCGAAGAACTCAACATTTCATTCCCGCACGAAGCACATTGATACAAGGTATCATTGGATCCGAGAAGTCCTCGAAGAAAAGAAATTGCATCTTGACAAGGTTCACACAGACGAGAACGGGTCAGACATGATGACCAAGGTTATACCGACAAAGAAGTTCGAAGATTGTTGTCAAGGTGCAGGTTTGCTACAACCCCCCAATTAAGTTGGGAGGGGGGGATTTGTTGGGATCCCTACTTAATTGGAGAGGTTCTAGAAAATTCTAGAGCTTTCTAGAGAAGTATAGAATTTTCTAGAACGTTACGGAGAATCCTAGAGAAGTCTAGAACTTTCTAGAAGCTTGCGGAATAATGTGGAATCCTCTGGAATATTCTAGAGATGTGTGGAATCTTCCGGAAGCTTATGGAAGAGTATGGAAGCATATGGAAGAGAATGGAGAGGTGTAGAGATTCCTTGGAATTCTCTAGAATAGGTAGTCATGTAGATCATTCTAGAGAAATATTCTCCACCACTCATTATGGAGGTGGAGTAGTAAAAATAGGAGTAGGAGCCTCCATTCCTATCTATCTCAATCCTAATCCTAGCAATCCTAGCAAGAGAGAATTCACTTCCTAGAGTGAGAAAGCTAGAAAGTTAGAGAGCCTCTTTGAGAGAGAAGAGAGTTAACTTGGGAATGTCATATCCTCAAGCTTGAGTGAGCCACCATTGAGTGAGACAATTTTGTAACATTCTTGTAAATCCTACTATTCTTTTGTATAGTGGAAGAATCTCCATATTGAAGAATTTAAATCGTGTGCTCTCATTACTACCTTAATTCCTAAGTGCCTATCTTAACTTCACGAAGCGGGAAATTCCGGAGTTTTTTCCCAACAACTTGTTATATTACAAAATGCTGGTAGCTTATTTGAATTTTGATCATATTTAGTGGCATAGTTGGTGACGACTTTCATGGGGAAGAAAGGAAGTGGCTGTTTTTCCGGCGTGAAAAAAGCTTTCCAAAACTCTTCCAATGATTTGGCAATGGAGAAGAAGGTACGTTTAATTCCAAACCTTTGGATGTCTCAAAGTGAAAGATAAAAAATGTTACTCTCCACCAGTTTTGTATTGTCCCATCCTAAAATACACTTTCCGTTTTGGATTGTCATTTTCCAAAAAATTCTCAAAGTTCCATTAACTTTTTATTTTTCCACTTTATCTTTTTATCTTTCACTTTACTTTTTATGGAATATCTTATATGGAGTATTTCTTACCTTTTGCAGGTTAGATTTGTGAAACACTATGACATGAAGGTAGTATTTGAAATGCTTTAAGCAATTTAGGGATGTTTGAAATTGATCTTGCTTCTACTTTTTTTTTCAAAAGCAAAAGCAAAATCAGTTTTTTTCAGAAAGTGGTATCCCTTAATCTGTTTCTAAAAGCTGTTTCTATGAGCAATTTGGAGCAATCAGAAGTACTTCTACACTTTGATTCAAATACTCCAATATCTATTTCTGCTTCCTAAATGAGCAAAAACAGTTTTAACAAGTAGATCTAAACACTTCCTCGATACTTCCTTTCTATAATGTAAGATGCATGAGTTTGATGCGAGTTTTAAGAAAATTAACGATAAAATAATTGTTTTACTTCCTCCGTCCCTTAAAACTTTGTAATTTTTTTTTTGTTCCATTAACTTTATCACTTTTCCTTTTAAGTAAAAATTTGTGATTTCAGTTAATTCTTTCTCCTCTGCACAAACCTCAACCACACATTTTTTACTTTACTAATCTTATGCTGGTCAAACTTGACCAAATTTTAAGGGACCGAGGAGTATAATTCTAACCTCCAAAAAGTAAGAAAAAAAATATATCCACAAAAAGTAAATGACAAAGTGGGAAGACAAAAATTAATGGAATCCAATTTAATAACGTATTCATATTTTTGAGTTTTAAAGATCATTCAAAAAGGGAAATGTATTTTATTAAATGATTATTTTGGAGAAAACTTAGATTTAAGTCATGTTATTTAGGAAGTGTTCTTGATATTATGAAGGAAAGCAGGGTAGATAGAAAACAGAACAAAACAGAATCAGTAAAAGTGGTATCACTAGATCACTTCCCAGATTCGCCAACAAGCAATGTTACTGACGAAAAGAGCGACGATGATTCGTGTCCGGAGGCCACTCAGGATTGTCAACATGCCATCATTGTGGCGGGCTGGCGGCCGCAATCGCTGTAGCTGCAGAGGCCGCCATTGCAGCGGCTAAGGCGGCAACTAAGGTTATCAGATTAGCCGGAAGCTACACCGCCCTGCTAAGTAGGAACGGGCGGCCACTATGGTACAATCACATTGCACGTGATGTCTTGTACGAACTCCTATTTAACATTTTTACATTCTACTCTATGTTGTAAAAACCGGACCGGGAGGCGACATAGATAAGTTGCCAGGTCAAGGGTCAACTCGGACCTGGAGGGTCAACCTGATCAAGACCGGTTAACCCGGTCAACGCTATACATACATAAATATATATATTCTATAAAAATATAGTTGAATTTGTAAAGGAAAAAATATTTTCCTTCCTAATTAAAAAACATTTATTCCCTAAGGAATTGAATACTCCCTCCATCCCAGAATGATGGTCTCATTACCTTTGGGTGCAAATATTAAGAAAGTAGTCTAAAAAGACTATTGTACCCTGGTATTATTCACGGGAAAGTTCGCGAAATAGGACTAAAACAGTTTCGAAATTCCAAAATAGGACTGCCATGTTTTTTATTCCCAAAATAGGACTAATTATTGCCATGTTTAGAAAATATTGCCATGTTTGAAGTCTGGTATTGCCAAAACATGACAGTAATTAGTCTTATTTTGGGAATAAAAATATGGTAGTCCTATTTTTGGAATTTTCAAACTGTTTTAGTCCTATTTTGGGTAATATCTCATTATTCACTCCTGATTTCTTTGTTGAAGTTAGTGTGCATGGGGGGGGGGGGGTTATTTTTTTTACTTAATGCTACAGTATAGTTCAGTTCATACTGAACTGTAGATCCGTTCCATTAAGTGCACAGTCCCTGAAACCTTTTAAACCACAAACACATCAAATACATTTGTGAGGGAAATGGTTTAACTTTTCACCATTTCCCTCCTAAAATTTAACCATTAAAGAGTAGTCCAACCAGTTTACAAAATAGAGGGAAAGTCCAAAAACTAGAGGGAAGCTACAGTACGAAATTTTAAATTACAACCAGATTACACCTACAAATACTTCATTCATTACACACAAAATCTACATTAACTACTTAGCTCTGCACCTTCATCTTCATTAATGCCTACTGATCCAAAGTCCAAATACACCTGCACAATGAAATAGGCTGTCAAATGAGGAAAGAGAGCAAATCAAAGATTATTTTTTGAAAAGAGTAGATGCTGCAGGCCAACTTCAGCGTGAGGAAATAAAAAAAAGTTGCACTACAGTTCAAAGTATCTACACGAGCCATTTCCAGAATTTGTACTATTGTAAAGACTCAGTTGCACAGTGGGAATGTCATCAATGTAAGTCACAAATTAACTGGAAATGTGGGAAGAAAAAGAGTTACAGTGCCACTTCAATCTTTTAAGGACATACCTTTAAGCAAAATGACAAATATCAAGTCTGCTTCTCATGCTTTAGCAATTTCAAGAAGTACTTTTCACAAAATGAAGCAAAGGGGACAAATAAAAACACATACAAGCACCATAAAACATTTCTTGACAGAAGAAAACAAACTAACAATGTGTTTTTTTTTTGCTTGAACCACCTTATCCCATCATCTTTACAAGAAAATCACACTTTCCAAGGATTTGGTGCATACATTCATATCGATGAAAAGTGGTTCAATTTGAGTAAAGTTATGACTACATGGTATGTGCATGAAGGAGAGGAACCCCCAGATAGGCATGCAAAATCAAAGAGATTTATAACTAAGGTAATGTTCTTGTGTGCCGTGGGAAAGCCTATATTTGGGGATGAGGGGGAAGTGATATTTGATGGCAAGATTGAAATTTGGCCATTTGTGGAACAGGTAGCAGCAAACACAAATAGCAAGAACATGCCAAAAAATACATTGATGACTAAACCAATCTTGTCAATCACAAAAAATGTTTACAGGGACACATTGGTAACACAGCTTATTCCAGCAATCAAAGCCAAGTGGCCAACTGAATTAGGAAAGCATGTTATCATCCAACAAGATAATGTTAGGCCACACATTAGCTCAGAAGATGAAGTATTTGTTCATACAGCTACAAAAGATGGTTAGAATATTAATTTTGTCAAGCAACCACCTAACAGTCCAGATATGAATGTGCTCGACTTGGAGTTTTCCCACTCCATTCAATCATTGCAGTACCAAACTTGTAGTAAACCAGTGGATGAGTTGATAGTAAATGTACAAGATGCTTTTACCAACTTATCACCAAAGACACTTAACAATGTTTGGCTAACACTACAGTTTACAATGGTTGAGGTTCTTAAGGTTAAGGGTGGAAATAACTACAAGCTTCCACATATAGGAAAACAAAGGCTTGAAAGACTTGGTAACCTACCTACAGCCATTCAAGTGGACAATAACATTGTGCAGTATGCAATTGCACATGTCAGTGACATGCCTACTACCTCACTTCAGTTATTATGAAGACAGCAGAAGCTTTTTTTGTCACCCAAGCTCTCAGTTAACTCTTTTATCATCATAGAGTTGTCATTGACAAGCTCTCTGATAAGTGAGTTATCTTCATAGAGTATTGGAGTTATGTGTAGTATGCATGTTTTTTTTGTATTTTTGAGTTTTTGGAACTCTGCATCACACATTTATGTAATGAAGCATATATGGACATTGTATGTCATTCACTGTCTCAGACATACATATAAATTTCATCACTAAGCTATCACAGTACACATAAGCATCATTATCATACAAACATATAGCCTCCAACGTGTACATGAACAAATAAAGTCCTCTCAGAGAGTATCATTTGCATCATTGAGTTAATTTGAGGTTACTTGAACCTCAAATTACCCTTAGACATTATAACTTTAATCATTGAGGCATCACCGTACACATAAGCATCATTAGCATACAAGGGTGGCTCTCAATAGAAACATATAACCTCCAACATGTAGTTGAACAAATAAAGTCCTATCATAGAGTATCATTTGAATCATAGATTTAATTTGAGGTTACTTGAACCTCAAATTACCCTCAAAGATTTAAAACTTCATCAATGAGGCATCATAGTACACATAAGCATCATTAACATACAAGGGTGGCTCTCAATACAAATCATATCGCCTCTGACCACATATGCAAACACATTCAAACAACCAAACATGTATAACCCCACAATTTACATCATCGATCAGTTAAGTCAAACGTAAACATCATCATAATCGTATAAATAGAGAAATAAAGAGAGAGCAAGGTATACAAACATAGCTTTCATCCTAGAAGCCATTGTCATGAATATTAGGGTCCAGCACATACATATTCTCGTTTTACACTTCTGACTGCCAAGGAAAGTTATAGTCTCCATATGTGTTTGACCGACAACCTTCAACCTCATGAATCTGAAATCTAACCTTTTTGCCAGATCCGGACTCACCGCTTCGCTTCTCACCCTCGTCAACTTCATATGAACTTTCCATGTGCGTGTCCTCCACAATCGATTAAATCAATGTCTCTGTATGGCGGACGGATTGCAGATTTGGACATACAAATTCCGAAAACACTACATCTACACCGATGGCGGTTTCAACGGGCTCAGCGTTGTGATTCGATGGCATTTGTAGAGTTTCAAGGTGAAAGACGAAAGCGATTCCAGAAGAGAAGACAATGAAGATTAAAAGACAGGGATAGAGAAGGGAGGAGAGAGGAGCGGATAACACAGACAGAGTGGGGGGAGGGGGGGGGGGGGTAAAAGCAGACGTACGAAAAATAAAAAACAAAAGGGCTGGTGAGGGAATTAATTAAGGGTATGTATGGGAACCCACTTTAGATTGTTTACTAAAAATGGAAAGAGGACCATCATTTTGGGACAACCCAAATAAGGAAATACAGAGCCATCATTCTGGGACGGAAGGAGTAATACATAATTATCAATCCTTTTAACTAAACCATGAATGCATTTCAAATTAGAGGAACAATAAAATAAACATAACATTGATTACAAACGCTAGCCGGTTGGGCTCTTCAGGCCGGTTGCGGGTTTTAAGCCGGATTAGCGGTTATTGCCGGTTTCACTATGTTAACGGGTTGGAGTACAACCGGACCGGCTTTAATGTCGGTTCACCGGGTTTCAGGCCGACCCTCACCCGCCCAGTCCGGTCCGGTTCTTTAAACATAGATTCTACTCGGTGTCTGCCCTAATCTGATTTTTTTGAGAAAATTCTTTAAATACCGACTAAAAAAAGTTCAGGATTATTATTATTATTATTATTATTATTATTATTATTAGGGGAAAATGATTAAAATACCCCAAACTTTGAAGGGGTGTGAGATAAACACCCTAAACTTGTATATGTAATTTAAATACCCCAAACTTTATATATGAAGTTATTTTAGCACCATGGTCATGTATTATTTCTTTTCAAAATTATTAATTTTTGGTGTTTATTTCATAATTTGATAATTTTTAGCATTCATAAAGATACAATTAACATTCTAAAATTCCATGGTAAAATAAATAGTATTACCCACTACTATATATAATTCTAATGTATTCAATTTGCTATTTTAAATTATGCATTTAACACCATAAATTTACATTTTTGAAAGAAATCATATATAATCATGGTGTTAAAATAACTTTTTATATAAAGCTTGGGGTATTTAAATTACATATGAAAGTTCAAGGTGTTTATCTCACACTCCTTCAAAGTTTGGGGTATTTTAATTATTTTCCCCTTATTATTATTATCTCATATTGAAAAAAGCATTCATTTACTACTATTTTGAGAATTTATTTACCTTATTATTTTAATAGGATAAATGAATCTTATTTGAAGAATAAAAAAATATTTGATCATATTAAACAACAACAACAACAACATCCAAGCCTTAATCCCAAAAGAATTTGGGGTCGGCTAACATGAATCGATCTATGATATCGATGCCAAAAAGAGAAGGCGGACAAGAAAAGGAAAAAAAATAAAATAAAATGAATAAAATAAAGATACATAAATATAAGATAACAATAACACAACAATATAACCAAGATAAAAGAAAAATAAATAAAAGAGCATAAAAAGCTAGAAGATAAAAATAACATAAGAATATAAAAAGATAAGGAAGATAAACGATAAAAGAAACAAGAGAGGAAAGGTAGACAAGACATCAATCGTCCACATGGATGTGCGCCCTCCACTTTGCTCTCTCCAAAGCCATATTCTCATCCAACCCAAGAAGACGCATATCAGTTCTGATTACTCTAATCCAAGTCTGTTTAGGTCTTCCCCTCCCTCTCTTCTCTGA